TTTTTTTTTTTTTTTTTTAACTTTTTTTCGCTTTTTGCAATTATTCCATTTGTACGTGAATTACGATTACCTCTCGCATAGAATGTATAAACGTTTCTAAGCGTATAAATTTTGGTCAGTAAAAAAAAGAATATACTATAATATCGAATTATTATATTTTTTCCTATACACGTCACACGTAAAACAAACTCTATCAATACTACGTTTACATATTCTTAATTTTTTTTTTTCCTTTTCATTCTTTTTCTTTCTCTCTCTCTCTCTCTCTCTCTCTCTCTCTCTCTCTCTCTCGCTCTCTCAGTTCAGACACACATTTGCTCATTTACTCATTCACTCAGACTTTAGGCGTCTAGGTAAAAAAATGGGGGTGGGAGAAGAGGGTAAACGACGTTTCGTTTATAGAATTAATCGCTAGAAAAATAAAAACGCGGCTTTATCATCCACATGAATATATATATATATATTCTTTCCTCTCTCCTCTCTCTCTTTCTCTCTCTCTCTCTTTCTCTCTCTTTCAATCAATTTCCCTTAATTTATCGATATTTTCCTCTCACTTTCCATCTTCTTTTCTCTCACCGTACTTCGACATAACCGAATCATTCCTCTCACTCGCATCATCCCTAAAAGAAACAAAATTTCTTCTGAGGTGTGGCTCCGGCACGTTTTTCATTTCTTTTTTTCGTGAAACGTGGTTTTCCATTTCGGATGATAATGTTCTCTCTCGAAAAAAAAAAAGAAAGAACATTCGCGCGTTCTCGTCTCTTCGTCCCTTCTCGCGTCTGGATCCTCGTGCATCTCCGCTCTCGAGAGACCAGATCGATCAAAAGTAATATAAAATGAGGGAGGGAGAAAAAAAAAAAGAAAAAAAATAGAATCGATCGACTCTTGAAAACGATTTTCCACGATTTTCGTGATATTCGCATCCCTTCGTACTTCTTTCGATTCGAATTCTTCGCGACCACGAGAAATTAACACGGCTAAAAACGTTGCAGGCACGTCGCTTTGATATATTCGCGTAAGTGTAATAATATTACCGTCCACTTTGGACGAAAGAGCGAATTGGAAAAATTCATTCTTCCATACCGATCGATCGATGTATACATATTTTTTTTTTTCTTCTTCTTCTTCTTCTTCTTTTTAACGCGTTAATTAAATTTACTCGGCGACTCCTATGAGATCCTATGAGAAGCGTCGAAAGAACGGAGTAAAATTGATCCTCCTAGCTTCTAAAAGTCCCATTTGCTTTCGCGACGAAACGAAAAACTCGAAATTCGTTCGTATTTTCGCATAGCAAATTTCGCCGTTTTTTTCTTTTTTTTTTCTCTTTTGATTTCTATAATCTGCGATTTCAATCTCGCGCAGACCACAACAACTCTCGACGCACAAGCTGCTCGATTTTATTATACGTTTAGATACGAGCATTTCTCAAGGATGCTGGCTTTTCTCAAGGAAAATAATAATGGATATGGATTCGTCCGTAGCAGAACGAGGTTGTACGTTGTTTCACTGCGTCGTTGCCGCACGAAAAATTTGTTTGTCACGATTGTTTCCCGATCTCTCATCAAGAGGACTTCGAAATTGCGTTCTTCAGTCAATCAACGATCTCTTGCCTTTCAAACGTCCCGCCAGAAATTTTGCAATTGTCGAATACGCGAGAAAAATGAAAAATAAAACGAAACGAAGGATTGCAAAGTTTCTTTGTTAACCATTGGCCAAGAAGATCGATCTTTCGATCCTCATCCGTTTTCTCAAGTAAAAAAAAAAAAAAAAAAAAAAAAACCTTTTTTCTTATCACGCACGAATCAAACTTTCTCGAAATTATTAATTCTCAAATCATCTCGCGAAATCCAAAAAGCGAAAGATCAACGATAACAATCGTCACACGCATGGTCTGGAAAAAAGAAATGTGGCTCGAGGTGTAACGGCTCGAGTACAACCGGAGTGTCGGAGCATAAGCTGCCGCGTCGTGTGACCGTCCCGCGACGTTGCAGATAAATGCTCTCCCAGCATCGGTCGGTCGAGCTTTCACAGAGAGAGCTTTCGCGTATCGTGTAAGCGATCGATGTTGCGTCTCGATCTTGTGTGTGCTTTTCACGAGGCAGTGCTTTCTTCCTTCGTCCTACCATCCGTCGTACGTTCGCATACGAGAAACGTGTAATGTGTGTAAAGGAGGGGAGGGGGGCATGAGAAAAAAAAAAAAAAATAAAAAAAAAAGAAGAAGACTGTGCGGAGAGTGCGCCTCGAATCCTCTCTCTCTCTGCTCGAGGCCCTTCGAGCGAGAAAAGAATCAGACCGATAGAAATCGTGTGAACGATGTCGTAATTCCGCGTGCGTTTGCACGAGGAAACACCGCGTCAGATTCTCGAGAATATTAAAAAAACGTCTCGCGAGTGTCGCTCGCCACCACGATCTTTCGTCCATCCAAGCATTCCTCTTGTTGTACGCGCGCAATCATTCGCGACCAACTTTATATATATGATTTTATATATATGATTTATATTTTGATTCAGAGATTCACGAAGTAATCTTGGTGACAAATTGGAAAGAGCGCGAAGAGCGACGTATCCGAGACCTGTCCATCCTATCTCGTTTCCAGGATACTCGATGGGAAGGACGAGGGACTCGAGATCGAGCAGTCGAAAATTCGGATTTCCTCGTGCATACGATGCGTCTGCTCGCGAATCGACACGACGATGGAAAAAAACGTGGATCGTCGTGGAAGCGCGACGTTTTCGGAGAGAAAGTGTTTTTACTAATTACGAATAACAAAGGAGAACGGAAGGTATCTGGACGAGATTCCAGATCCCATCACGTAGAATTCGTGCTAAATCTGTGCATGCGTGCTCTCGCGAATTTTACTCTTTTCCTTTCTTTCTTTCTTTCTTTCTTTCTTTTTTTTTTGTCTTTTCTAATTTTCAATCTCTCTTTTCTCGTTTTTTTTGTATGTATATGTGTGTATGTGTGTGTGTCTTTTATATATATACGTGTGTTTTTTCCCTTCTTTTAATGCTTTTCTCCTCCTTTCTTTCTTTTTTTCTTTTTCTTTTCAATCGACAGAAGAAAGAGGAATCACTCGAAACGAAATTGCTAATTGCGCTACGAGTCAGAAGCGGGTGCGTCGTTCTCTCGACAAGCTCGAGCTACACAACCTATCGAACGGATTTGTTCTGCTTCGTCTTTTTTTTTCTTTTTTTTCTTTATCTTACTTATCAGCGTTATATCGTGTGTGTTTGTGTTTGTGTGTGTGTGTGTGTGTGTGTCGGCGGGCCACCTCGAACGCCGGCGGCTTCGCTCGAAAAACTTGAAATAATTAAGGCCGACGAGCGAACAAGCACGTCGTTTTGAACGTCCGCCTGACGATTCAGGTACACTGTGTGCATGTGTGCCTATTTAATATTTAATATTTTCCTCGGTTCGTAGAATTTCGGCAGAGGAAAGAAAAAAAAAAAATATAAAGAGAGAGAGAAAAAGAAATACAAATGTTCGGAGGAAACAAAAGAGAGATTAGATGTAGAAAAGTGGACCGTTTCGTTTTTCTTTTTTTGTTTTTTGTTCCTTTTTTCCCTTGTTTTTCGTTTTTTTTCTTTTTTCTTTCTTTCTTTCTTTCTTTCTTTCTTTCTTTCTTTCTTTCTTTTTTTTTTTTTGAAGCGGACGACGAACCTATCGTTACCCATCCGGCCCCGGGAATTAAGACTTGAATTATCGACTATATATACGTAGTAGAAGTGTAAACGTCGAGCCTAACAATCACAGCTATTGATACTATAAGTGTCTAGAAAACTGTCGCGGAGGAAAAAACGATAATATTTAATAATAATAATAATAGTAATAGTAATAATAATAATAATAATAATAGTAATAATAATAATAATAGTAATAATAATAATAATAATAAAATTAATAATAATAGTAATAATAATAATAATAAAATTAATAATAATAATAATAATAATAATAATAATAATAATAATAATAATAATAATAATTGCAATTATATAAAACGATAGAGAATCGATAATTAAAGGATGCTAGTAGCGATCTGTCATAAAGAAAGCTAATAACGGTCTCTCGTTAATACGCGCTTTTCTTTCGATCGTCGTTCCGAGTTAACCTCTAAACAGGTTTGGACATTGAACGATAGAAAAAAATATATGTGTATATGTACGTATGTTTCCATGTGTGTATAATGTTTTACACTTTGTATACGTGTTAATGCGATTCACGTATGCATATATACGCATGTGTATATATATATATATATATAATATATATCTATAAAATTCATCCTACGAAGAGTTTGCCTCACACCGGGTTTATCTCGACGGGGCTAAAGAAACCTAATAAATCTTTCTTTCGTCGGTAAGCATTCGTCGTTACGCTTCGAAGTAAAGATATTTATCTGTATGAGTATCACGTGGTTTTACTCCTATGCAGCGTATTTTCCACGCTGGAATCATAATAAATCGATGATTCGAATAAAGAACGGAGTGGACCGACCACGAGGTACCCAAAAAAACGAAATCGTTAGAAGAAACATTGTGGTCGATGCGAGAGGAGGAGGCAATACGATGCCTACTCGACCTCTATATATATATATATATATAATATATATAATATATATATATTATATTTTTATATATATTTCTTCTTTTTTTTCTTTTTCTGCTAAATTAAACGAACTGTCTAATATGTGAAAGATGTGTGTCCCGAAAAATGAAACGACACGCGATTATTTCGTTTTATAAAATCTTAGATTTCAGCTTATATAGGACCTATGTGTATGCGTGTGTGATTGTGTGTGTATGCGTGTGTATTTATACTTTACGTACACGAATATTGCACGTACCCGATTCTGTTTTCGGTACCCAATAAACCGTGTACACGAGTTTATATATTTAATATATATTATATATATCACATATATAATATATAATAATAATTTGCATATACAAAGCATTCGTGATTTTCGTTATACCTTCTTTGTCTTGCTTTATCTTCGTTACTTCTTTCTTTCCTACCCCTCCCCCTTCCCCCCTTTGTTTTTGCTCGTTTCATTCCAAAACTTACTATACTACGATTTTTCTTCGTTTCTTTTTCGTCATTTTGTTTTCAGTGCAAAGATAATAGTAAGTTATCGTAATTGTAATAATAATAATAATAGTTTTGAATAGTTTCGAATAACAAATAAATTTCGCCTCTGTGTATCCGAAATTAAAATAAAAAAAAGAACTCTCTCTTCCGCTCTTGCACACTAATAACTTTTTCTCTCCTTTGCACGCGATCAGCCTATCGAGAAGAATATCATTTGATAAAGTTTAATTGTTCGTCGTAATAACGTTATATATATTCGCGGTTGCTTTCTTTTTTTTTCTTATTATCTCGTCTCTCTCTCTCTCTCTCTCTCTCTCTCTCTTTCTCTCTCTCTCTCTCTCTCTCTTTCATACACACACGCGCGCATTCTTTCTTCCTCTCTCTGTCTCATTCTCACGTTCGGTCTCGTCTGAAACGAAAAAATAAAAGAGAAAACCGAAAACGGAAATACAAACATCGTTACGCTTCACAGCTAACCACAGCATTCGGCAAATATGTTTCGCTCGTTTAAAAATTATTTATATCACAATGAAACGCCAGCGCATCCTTTCCCCTCTGATCCCTTATTCGATCGTGGCACCCATGAACAAGGTACCCCCATACCTTTTCTCTCGATCTCTCCGAAAAACTTTCCTTCTTCTTCTTCTTCTTCTTCTTCTTCTTCTTCTTCTATTCCAGCGATTCGACTGATTCAAGGATGCGTCTATAAGGTCTGGCAGGTTTTGGCCTTGATCCGAGAATAATTTCGGATGATCGCGAACATGTGTATGCTAAGGATCCGTGTCGGTTGCGTGTCGGATGAACTGAACGTGCAAGGCCACAAGTGTTCATTCCCGCGACGCGGATCCGCGGTCACAGGGTTTATCGAATTGGCGGAGAATCGACGGACCCCTCTCTCTCTCTCTCTCTCTCACTCACACACACACACACGCATACACACACTCTCGCTCTCTCACACACTTTCTCACGCTCTCTCTCTCTCTCTCTCTCTCTCTCCCTCTATTTATCATTTTTCCTATTCTATTCTTGCTGAACGCTCGCCAACATAGCTGCACTGTTGCTCACAGGTTTCACGACCACACGATAGAATTTGGTACCGCGTCGTACGCGATATCGATTCTCTGACTGAAACGTGAACAAATTATTTACTCGTTTTAGTAATCATCCATCGACGATTGGATTTATATTTAAATGCATCACGAATGAAAATAAAAATAATTTTACCTTTCTAGCGTGACAGTATTGTTTATCCACAACCTCGACGATGCTCTGAGTATTCTTCGACTCGTCGGGATTCGAGCCCAGATCCAATTCGGAAGAGGAATCCGTGTTGAGGAAGTAGAGCGTGGTTGACTCCTGGTACAACGTGTACGTACCGTGGGTGGGATCCCAGAACATCAACACGTTATCACCGGGATCGCAGCTGGTCACGGTGATATGGCCCATCTCCATAAGCTTCGTAGCGGTTTTCTGCATTTTCTTCTGGACGTGCGTCAAGCACGTTGTGCAACCGCAACGACGCTGCGGTTTGGGGCTGGTCGCCGCGTCCCTGCGCGCGCTCGACTCGGAAACCACCGCCACAGAGGCGTTCATGTCCTTATCGCGGCACTCGGACGAGGACGAGGAATCGGGGGCGGCGAAGTTCCTTGGACGTTCCTTCACCAGCTCGATCTCGAGCCGGACCTTGTCCGCCTCTAGGGCCTCTATCTTCGCCTCGGCCGACTCTTTGCTCTCGCGAAGCGACTGCAATTCGGCGCTCAATCTCTTGTTCTCGTTCTCGAGCATCTCGAGTCTTCTCGAGAGGCAGGTCGGGTCGTCGTTGCTCGCCTCCAGCCGCACCTTCTTCGACTCGGACACCTCCACCTCGTCCTTCTCCGTTTCCAAGTTCTTCGTCACCTCCTCCAAGCTGCTCTGGCTCATCTCCAGTTGCTCGTCGCTGCTCTCCTCGTGCAAACCAGGCTCGCTCTTAAAATTCTCCGACTCGGTCAAACGCCTGATCGTGCTCTTGTAACGCTTACACTCGTCCGTCAACGCTACCTCCCTTCTCCTGAACATCTCCATCTCTCTGTCCTTCTCCTCGATCACCTGCGTGGCCAAGCGTAGATCGTGAACCAATTTCGCCACGCAATCCGTACGCTCGTCCTCGATGCTCCGTATCGCGACCGGCTTCTCCTGCTTCATGGCTTCTTGCGAGGCCGAGGCCAACGCGTGACCGGCCAACTCGATGAAATCTGGTCTCTGAAAAAGAAGAGGAAAGAGGGAGAAACGGGGGAACGTTTTCAATTTCGGAAGAGTTTCAACGAGAAATGGAGAAGAAATTTCGTGAGAACGTTGCTCACTTCGATCTTATCGGTGCTGTCGCTCGGGCTGCTCTCCATGGTCGTGGAAGCAGTCATCAGCTTGAACCGACTCCTGATCGACTGCAACTCGCTCTTGTACTCCATCTGCAGCTTTTCAGTCGCCTCCTTCACCATTCTCTTCTGATCGCTACGCGCCGTGTCCAAGCTCTCCTCCAATTCTTGGATACGCTTCTGGCATTGCGTGACGGAATTAGTGAGCGACGCTATCTCCAAGAATCTCTCGTCGTTGGCATTTTTCACGGCCGACTCTTTCTCGGCTCGTGCCTGCTCCAAAGCCTCCTCCAACTGTTGGTGAAGACGCGTTTGCAGGTCCCTCATCTCCGTTTGCTCGTTCTCCAACTTTTGCCGCATGGTCGATATCAGACGCTCGTGCTCGGCCAGCTCCGTCTCCTTCTCCATCACGCTTCGTTTCAACGTGCATATCTCCTCCTCGCGATTCTCCATCATCTTCTTCACGTCCGCCATCTCGAGCTCGTGGTCCACCGTCAACTCTTGCTCCCGTTCTCGAAGGCGGCGGTCGCACTCGCGCGTGTACAACGACAGAGCCTCGCGAACTTGCTCGGTCGTCTCGGAGAAACCGGTCGCCCCCTCGTCCGACCGATCCCTGAGAACGGCCAACTCCTGGCGAACGGACCTCAACGCCTCGTACACCACAGCCTTCATCGTTTTCAGGATGGAACGAAGCCTCTCCACCTCTTCCCGGGTGTTCCCAAGATTCTCCTGAAAATCGTCGACCGTCACAAATGCGTCCATGAGTACAGGGGAAGGAAAGCGTATCCTCTCAGACAACTATTCACGATCAAATATCGTAATATAATATCGTTCACAGGCGTGAAATAGAAAAAGTAAAGAAAGTAAAGAGAATTAAGAGAGTTGTTAGCGAGTAGGGGAAAATAGGGGGAGAGAGAGAGAGAGAGAAAAGATAGATTCGACAAAGAAGAGCAAGAAGATCCCAAAAAAATGTGAGTCGCGATGATTATTCGAATGAATGGCGAACGAATAGGCGGTTCGATTCGAAGTCGTCGCTTTAACTCTGAAAATCCGTGTCATATCTCTCTCGTCTTTCGAAATATCGTCTCGAGGAAAAACGTACTTTCGGGAACGTGGGAACGGGAGTGTCGAGTGCGACGGCAGCTATCCTGTAAAAAAAATCAAAAGACACACGCACTCACAGAGGGACGACACGACACGCGGCCGATTAATCAAGTTAACGTAAAACGAATACGCAAGCATGTTCTAGAGAGAAAGGTTGGCGTGGACAACTCGTGAAGAAAGAACTCATGGCAGGCAAGAGATACATACCCACACGACTTTGAAAATTACTTTGCAATAAGTCAGCGCAATAATAGCTTACTGGATAGCGAATGTAAAGACAATGACAACGAAAGTTACCTAGAAACCACAGAAAGGGAAAGTAAGTGGACATAAAAATTCAAGTAAGCGGACAACGTCTAATAAAAAAAAAAAATATATATATATACCTTTTCTTAAAAACGTTTGCACGAAGAATATGTATATATAATATATATATATATATCACAAAGTATATCATTAATACATATATATATATACTCTATTTTATATATATATATATATACAATACATACAGGATTACAAGATAGGAGGATGGCGTAGAGAAAATGATATACACATAGACAAGGAAAACGAGGAGTACACGAGTCAAAAATTGGGAATACTAATTTCGAATATGTGTAAAGCAAACAAGTATATGTACCATATACACATACATATATATATATATATCTCGTAGGAGGGATCGAGGATACGTGTATATATATATATATATATACATACATACATACATATATATATATATATATATTAGCGGTAATGGAACGTTTACGGCTACGACTACAAGGTCTGTTAGCGAGCTGTAAGTCGTCCAGTACCTGGAGAAGGGAAACGATAGCCTGGTGCTGGCCGTCGGCGGGATGCTCGCTGAGGCTGCTCGGCAGAGACTCGTCCATGTAAAATTCGGTAGCCATGAAGTCGGTAGGCCCAACTCCCACGGACGGGCTGCTACCGCCGCTGCCGGACAGCTGGTGGCGTTGCTGCTGCTGGCCGTCGCACATCACGGACCGTGACAGGGAGGAGGGGGGATTCGGGCTTAGGGAGTTGGGCTCCTCGGCGGCCATCGTGGCCGATGGCGTCTCGTGATATTTGGGAAGACAGTTGGTAGTAGCACGGTGAAGCAAACAGCTCGACTCGCCGTTCTCGGCGCACTCGGTTAACGGGCTCAGTTGAGCTGGACGCTCGCTCACGGACAGACTGGGGAAATGGAAGGATCCAGGCTCGCTCGAGGAGGATGACCGGTTCGTCAGGTCCGCGACTTTCGAATTAAGCGGGGATACGTTAGTCGAGGTCGAGGAAGCGGGGGAGACGCTTCGCGAGGCACCAACCTCCAATTGCTTCTGGCGCGTTTGTTTCGCGCCATCGAAGGACTCCGGTTTAGAGTCCGTGGCGCCCTGCCCGATCTTCTCGAACTCCTCCGTGTCCGTCTCCGATTCGAAACCACCCCTGGAAGAAGGGAAGAAAGCTCGGGGTGATCTTTCCCTCTGGGAAAAAAATTTTCTTCTCGCGCAATTGGCGGGATCCGGCCGAATACCTGTCGAACAACATCGGTGCCCTGGCTCCTCGTTCCTGCTCCTTCGCGGCCACGTCCACCCGCATCGAAGCGCTATCCTTCTCCTTGTTGTTCTCGTCCGTGCTGGTAAGACTCTTCGACAGGAAGAACTGAGTGATGCTGTTCAAATCTGGCGACGAGATGGTGAGCGCCAGATCGGGTAGCTGGGATCTAAGAGATTCCATATCCTCCGCAGTCAACTGCAACGATCATCCCATAATAATCCCCTCTTCTCGACAACGAAAATATATATATATATATACACATAAACGAGTTATACCTTTGGCAATCCGTTATCGAAGACGGATGGCGCCTGGGTGGCGAATGGCGGTGGCGTGTCTTCAAGGCCGGGGAACAAGGTGTTGAGGAAGTGGCCGTCGAATTTACTCTGAAACTCCCTCCTGCGAGCCAATTCCTCGCTGTGAACGGTGAGCAATTGGCAGGCCAAGTTGCTGGCCCACACCAGGAATGCCTGCGAGAACGTTCTCCTGCGAACGACCTCGGCCACGGCGTTCATGTACATCTGCGGCGCGAGATGGATCTGCTGCAGCACCTCGAGGTGCCTTCTCAAACGTTTCAGGCTCTCGTGATACATGACCAACTTGCCGTCCACCTCCATCATCTTGTTCTCCACGTACATGATCCACTTGAGCCGATGATAGATGTTCACCGACAGCTCCTCCTTCGCCTTCGTGCACCTACGCCTGATGTCGCGCAACTTGTTGTGGTTCTGCAGCATGACGAGCAGCTGGCGCCTGTGCGACGTGCACAGGTCGGGAAGCACGCTCGCATCGCCCAAGTTGTTCGCCCGGCTCTGATTCTGGAGGAAACCCTGGGCGAGCTCCCCCTGCTCCTGGACCAGCTTCTTCGTCTGTGCCATCAGCTGCTCCAAAGCGAACAACCTCTCGCCCAGCCCCTTGATCTCCTTCATATCCTGCTTGTTCGCGCTGTCTATGGCCGCGTTCACCTCGGCCTTCAACGCCTCCATCACCCTCTCGTCGAACTGTTCCAGACCCCTCGAACACTGTTCCGCCACCTGCTCCAGACTGCTTTGATTGTCTTTCGCCGAGATCCATCGAAGCAGGCTCAGAACCTTCTCCCTCCCCTCGGAGTCCTTCTCGGGCTGACTCGGCTGCTCGTCCGGGCTCAGCAAACCCTCCGCCTGGGCCCTCAGCGCTGGCAGGATTGGAATTTTCGCTAAGGTGCCCAGATCGGCGTTGAAGCTACAATTTTGTGAGATTTAATTATTCGTGTGTTCCATTCCTATAGGAATACGATAATAAATAATAATTTCGACAAATTATTCAATTTGCGATTAATCTCGTAATTCGTTAATTATCTCGGAAATCCTCCGTTTCTCGCTTCGTGTCGTGCGTCATTGAGAAAGGTAGAAAAAAAAAAAAAAAAAAAAAGGAAAGAATTCGTCGCGCCGTGATTATGCAAATCGGATGATACAGTTAACTCTGATCGAACCGCCGCGCACTTAATTATTTATTGGGGCTCGAATCCGGTTATCCGCCTCTCGATTTATCCGGCCGCGTGTTCTAAAATAAGCCGGTTTCGTTTATTTTCATGCTTACTTTTCGAGTAGTTCCATGTGCCGCTGCCTCTCCGACAAGTAAACGGCGAAGCTCTGCTGCAGGAGGTCGGCCCGTGACTGGAACATCTGAGTGATGTCCTCCAGATTCGCGACCACGGCCGCCCACCCCTGTTGCTGAAGGTGCTGATCGTGGACCAGCCTCTCGCAGATCCTCGTCTGCTCCCGCGCCAATCCGCAGCACTGCTGCGCCAATTGGGCGCGGGCGATCAGGGTCTGATAAGTGGCCGGCATAGCGAGCGACGCGTCGATCTGATTCTGAAGATCGACATCTGCAATTTCAAGGGAGGATCGTTTCGTGCGATCTTGTAATATAAATGGAATATAAATGGCATACGTTTCAAGCAAAGGATCTCAATCACAAAAGGATCGAAATTTGGATTGGAGGGGGGAGGGGGACGAATTTTAATTTTCCATTTCGAGTCATTTCATTCCAGGAATTATTCTTTACTTTTCATCGCGTTCTCGATTACGATCCAAAGATCGATCGTTCTCAACTCAATCGTTTTGATTCTCGATGAAGAAGCGTCGAATCGAAAGATAATTCTCATTGGTTAACAGGGATAACTTGGGGATAAAAACAACTGGCTGTTGTTAATTAAAAGGGAACGGATCACGCTTGCGAGCCGTGGATCGGGGTCGAGCGATTAGAAAATGGGCGATCTCCGTTTTTCGAGCTCGTTGGAAATCCACGAGGGTGAATTTCGAGGGCGAGTCTCGAGTTGCACGGGCATCTCTAAAACTGGATCCTCGTGGGTCGATAGCGTGGAAAAACAAACGAGGAGAGGAGCGTGTACACGCTACCGATCGTGTACACGAAGATGATGATCATGCGCTTTCATGCCGGTGGATTAAAAAATTCTTGCGACCTCTTCTTCCGATTTCGATGTACAACAATTTAATTTAAGTCGTCGATTAAAAATAGACAATGTCCAATTTTTTATTACAAATTCTTTTTAACACTATTTCATTTTTCTAGATTTTTTAGATTTCTTTTATTACAAATTTCCTTTCTTCCATTACCCTTGTTAACCCTAGAATACACGTATTTTCGCTATGTCTATTGCCAGAATTTCTAGCTCCAACGAAATGTTGGCTTTTCTGTTGTTGCTAAGGGCTCGTAGAACCCTCCCCCTTACGCCAGTAATTGCTTCTCCGGGCGTGGAAATTTTTCGAAGCCCCAATTTCATCAAGGTAGAACGTGCCCCGGGAATCTACTGTCAAAGGAAAGCCCATGAGTGATGGATTGTTTCCAACCGCTGTAAGGGAGGGTCGTTACCCGCACAAACATTCGAAACCAAGAGAGAGATAGGAAACCATTTCGAGGAAATTTCGACCAAAAATGGACGAACAAAAAAAAATAATAATAATAATAATTGAATACAGCGTAAATTCTCCGACATCCTATAGATTCTATTAAGAATAGAAGGCGTAGAAGGCGTGCTTTTCCACATCAAAGATACACAGTCGTATAGTGTCATTTCTTGTTCTGAACTTGCGTCGTGTGGGACGCAATAATCGCTACGTTTCTTCGCATCCACGATTAGAGAAATTACTACGTGAAATTAAATCTATAATGGCTGCCTCTCTCGAACGAACGATCGTCACAGATAATCGTAAAGAATTTTGAACGCGCGAGGAAAGCAAATTGTAACTACATTTGGAGGCTATTGCAGGGGGGGGGATGGATGCGAGGATCGATTCTTGTGCGATACGGTTTAATTCAAATCCTCGCAAATGGGATGGTTATATCCCATTCGAGGAAGCGAGGGATTGGAACGGATAGAGAGTGTCCACCAAACTGCATGTATAATTGATCGAGCTTCGCCAATGCAATCTTGGCACGCGATGAAAGCTCAAGGTCGTGGACACGGCCCGCGCCATCTCTGCACGCTTACGTCATAGCCTGGATTCGGGGTTGCACACACTGACTCGCGCACCTGGTGGCCGTTTCAGTTTACGATATTTTCAATTAGATTCCAAAATTATTACGATTCAATTTTCTTTCCAAAATAATCGTATCCTCCGTTTGAATATTCATAAACGAATTATCCTCTCGTTACTTGATATTCCGTTTTCTTCCAATATTTAAAAATCTTGGAAAATTACGATCGACGAATCACGAATCGAACCGTGTTTTAACGAGATCCTCCCACGCGAAGATGAATCTCCCTACGAGCTCAGTGACAAGTTAAACTACGTCTCGACAGGTCTCGACGGTTGATGGAAGAGAACTGTTTACTGTGTACGCGTGTGAAGTAAAATCATTGTATTTTGATTGAATAATACGATAGGACGCTCAGGTTACGCTGAGAAACATTCTGAAACGAGAATACGCTCGTACAAATCACGTGGGAAAATTCAATGGTTATCGTATATTATATTATATATCGAGTACAAGCAGGCGGCAAGCTGTAGAGAAGTTGATGGATGAACGTTTGTCCGATGTCGTCAAATATTTGATTTTTCTTCTTTCTTTCTTTCTTTCTTTCTTTCTTTCTTTTTTTTTCGTCTCAAATATTGACTGCGAGCGTACGAGAAATTTATCCAACGCGTCTCTCGAGAAACTCTCGGAAACTTGCTAATCGCTCCTCTCAACCGAGATCCTGCAATTCGATTCGATAAAAAGCCCTCTCCAACTTTGTCCATTCTCTGCTTAATTTCGAAAGAAAAGGAATAAGAGAGAGAGAGAGAGTTATTAAAAGAATTCATCGTCCTTCGAATTTCAAGCAGCCGGCGATACACGTTCGACCGAAATTCGCTGGAGGAAAAAGCGCTGCGGCACGCGAAAAGAAAGGAAGCGCGCGAAGACAACAAAGAAGGGTGGAAGAGTAAATCGAGGCTGAGGTATATATATATATATATATATTGCACAACTGTTGGACAACGTATCGATTTTATGCCGCACACGGTTCGGCATAGGGACGGTTTCCTTTTTTTCTTTCCCCTTCTCTACGACGCCCCTAGTTTCCGCGTGTGAAAGAGAGAGAGAGAGAGAGAGACGGAAAGGAAATCTATCGTGAAGAAAGATCGCGGAACAGAGGAGAGGTGGAGAAAGGAGGATGATCGAAAAAGACTCGAAAACGAGATTAAAGCGGAGGGGGAGAATTATCGAGAAACGAAAGCGAATCTTTGCCTCGCCTGCTCTTAATTTCAATTGTTATCGCCCAGGCGGCGATCGATCGATTAATTCGGCTCGATTTCCGGCCTCGACAATATATAATATTCTCACGGACGAGAAGGGGCGCTAAATAAATCAGAGATCGGGTGACCCCGAACGGTCGTTCGCAAATACATCGAAAATCGATTCGATCAATAGTCGCTTGGTTTTTAATCGTTCAAGGGGGGAAAATAACACGAGAAAACGCAAAGAATTGCGTTAAGTAAGTTCGCGATCGACCGTGAGTTTTGTCATTTTTTCAGACTGACCGTGTCGCTATCTGAACGATCGATCGAGAATCATCAATGATCGTCGCGAAATCTTTTCTCGAATCTTCATTTTCATTTTTTTCCTAGTAAAATTCAGAGATAGATCCTGAATTCGTTTCGCGAGAGAAGCAATGATTTGCTTGTATGCTTTCACTTGTTGCTCGTCGATGCGACAAATATATTCATGAATAAGGAGTTATCCTGATGTGATTATTTATATATCGACGAGTGCAACGCGTCAAACGGTGCAGCGCATCGTACGTAAGGCGATTGTAGGCGAATACAGCGAAAGGGGGTCGCGGCTCCCAAAAAAAGATCGGAGCGAGCCACACTTCTATAACATTGTTGCACAACTTTGCAATGCAGAAGAGACGCAGATAGGCTAGCAAAGATGATGAAAATTCGCTTCGTGTTTCGCGCACCGTATATAACGGCGGTGACCTCTTTTCAATCGTGTAATTGCGCAAGCTTCCGGCGCGCAGCAGGTTTGAACCTGGCAAACAGGGGCCAAGAATTTCACGGCACGACACTGAATTCCCAGAATATCTTAACTTGGACTAATGCTCCCCTTTTCTAATTATAAATTCTACGCACCGCAAAACACACACCCACGCGTTCGCGAAACGTAGACACACACACACACACACACACACACACACACGCGCGTACACACGCGCGCCGGAAAGAATCGATCGATAATAAGTTTATACGGATTATAAAAAGAAAAAAAAAATATAAAGACAACTTTTCTTTTTTCTCGAGAAGGAAAAAACAATTTTCCTTCTACGGGGTTGCTGCTCGTTTTCAGCTATTCGTTCACAGCTATTTCGATCCCCGCGTAATCTTTCCCCCGAATGGAAAAAAGCTTGCGTTGGAAATATTACGATTGAGAAAGAAGAGGAGGAGGAGCTGCTGCACGTTCGAAAGAAGGAGAATATTACGAACTGCTCGAGACTTATCCAAGTAAAATTTTTAAAATTTCATCGCAACGCAACACATCTTGATTGATCTTATTATTATATTCAATATAATCGAATATGGGGTGTATCCGGTGGAAGTTGTTAAACAGGATCTATCCTGAGTTATTAAAGGGTCAATGGGTCCGCTTGGTTGGAGGAGGAGCGTGGTGCCAGAAGAATCGCGAACGCCGTTTCATTCGCGTCCACTTGGTGTACACGAAGCGTTCGTTTAAAAGCCTGTTGCTCTGCCAACCGACGACGACCCGATGGGAATGCGTGGACGCACCAATGAGCGTGGCAGCGGCGTAGCGTGGCTCGATGGGTCGCGATCTTATCCACGGTGAAAACTCGGCCATCCATCCGGTGAGGAGGAGAAGATGGGGGAAGAAATGTTGGGCGATGGTTGGTCGATCGCCAGGAAACGATAAAACCGATCGAGGAACCGCGCGCGCCTTGATGAATATCGGTCGATTTCTCTCCTCTCCTCTCCTTTCCTCGCCCCTTCCATTTTTCCTCCCCCTTTTCTCTCTCTCTCTCTCTCTCTCTTCTTTCTTTTTCTCCACATCGTCGGTCAACGATTGCATAAGCCGCGGTCTCCCTGTTTCTCCTTCTATCAATCGACACGATTCGAGTGACGGACTTCGAACCTTCGCTCGAGAGAACGATTTCATTTTTTTTTATTCTTCGTCCTCGTGAAAGGATCATACGCGATCTACCTTATTCTTGATCTTCTTCTGATGAATAAATTGGATCGAAAGTCGTGACTCGTTGTTGGAAATTTATGTATACATTTTTTTCTTTTTTTTCTTTTCGTTCGATATCGGAGCCGGATACCCACCAGCTTTACGCGGGTCGTAAAGCGGTGCAAATTAGCGATTTTCTCT